TCTATCCCTCGATCACGTCGCCAGCGTCAGCGTACAGTTATACGACGTACGACTACGATGTAAATACGGATTTTACAACAGTGCCTTACTTGGAATTTCAATTCGACAAGTTATTCATTTATTTTTCTACTTGTTCGCTCACGTTTCACCACAAATTAGCTTTGTTATATCGAGCGTAGTTGTGTCTGGACAGGGAAACCCCAACTTTGCGGACACCCTGTATTACTGGTGAGTCAGATGGAGAAAATATAATCATTACACATACCAAAATATATTGATTCGCACATATACAACAGATAAATCGATAAAACAATATATAGTAAAAAACTAGCTGACACATTCACAAAACAATGTAAAATCTGTCAATCTTTAGAAATTGTTTTAAAGTTGCTTTCAAAATGAGTGCACGGCAGGTCGCAAACACTTCCAGGCAGGTTGTTGTGTTATTCGACACCCAAACTTATAGCAGCATTGATTCTACTCCTTGTAGGTAGTAATGTGCTCTTGCATCATGTATTGTATTCATGAACATCAAATAGATATTTGCTTAAGTTATTCTTTAAATGCAGCAAGTTATAACACGAATCATTGCTTCCAAATATTTCTCGGCAATGTTCGTTATGTTTTGCTTTAACTACACTCTGTACTGTAGCTGTTATGTTGTCACACCCATAATTTAGGATGGAATTGAACATATCATAGTATGCTGTTAGAGCGGCTCCTGAGTCGACTACATATGAAATTTTGCGAATGACGTGCATTGCATTGCCGGTTAAAGGGATGCCTTGCTTTTGTTAACTAGTATTCGGTTATTTTAAATTAATTTAGGAATTTGAGTGTGGCAAAAGTCGTAATTTTGGTTGGATCTAAAATTGCACGATTTGATTTTGATCACAGTGCGAGCCACTTTCTTGTGTGGTTGCTGTGCGACAGTACGTGATGTGTAGGCTTGGCGTGCCAATCTGAGGTTAGTTCGTAGTAAATGCGTGTCCAGTGCGACTATGTATGTTAGTGTAACAGTGCATTGTACTATGAGCGTGAAGCTTTCTCAATCTCGAAATATGGTGTTAGATTTGCTACAGATTTATATCGATTTCTATGTTTTTGTGTTTTGTGCCGAAAATGAAAAAGGTGTTCTGTTGTGACGAAACTTTTGGGGTGTCATTCGACTTAGAAGTTCTTGGGTGAGCAGTTTCAACTCTCTCTTTTATCACTCCCAGGACTTAAATCGTTATTTTCGAATGCTGTTGTTTTAAAACAGTTATTTCTTGAAGCTGATTGAGATAACACGTTATGAAATTTAATATGAAATCTGAGATCAGATCAGATCTGTAGGAATGGACGATGCGTTGACAGTAATAATCTACAAAGTTCACGTCTGCAAAATGTCGAAGTGATGGGTAGCCGGATGCTCAACTACTCACGGGAAGGGAAGCAATGGCATAGATGTGACAACCTCCATTGGCATTTGACATAATTTCACTTACTTTTTCCAGGTACTAGTTGTTTAAAAAAATGATTTTTAAGATCGAAGTTATTGTGTTGTGTAGCCATTAGGGACTGAAGAATGGCGGCGACGTTCAATTTTGCTCCCGCTGGTGGCGCTGGTGTGGTTTGAGGTTTACTGTCAAAAGTAGACGGGAAAAAGGTGGTGCAGAGGTAATCTATTTTTATCAACTTCATCACATTTTGATCTCTATTGACGTCAACAGCTGATCAGCAATTGACATTTCCGTCTGTTTATAACCTTCGACATACCACCAACCTAACTAGCTTCTACCGTTTCAGATTACCCTTCGTTGAGGACGGTATCAGGTGACTGATTTTTTTTTATCTACCATGAACATTGTTTTACATTGTACCTACACTCCCCCACATTCTCCGTCTATTGTAAAGAGATGTTAGACCTTGGCGGGGGTGGATTTAATACATGGAGTAAAAAGATTGGCTAATACGATGTTCTTGTTGACTGTACCCGCAAGAAAATTAATTTTTGTTCAATTTCGTATATCTCTGCAATTAGCTTGGGAGTAATTGGTCTTAAATCTTGATGAAAACACTCAAGTTCTTTCTTCGTAACCAGAAAATTGAAGTGACCAAAAACTTTAAAAAAGTACTTTATTAACTCTTTATAATTTGCCATGCTGTATACGCTTGATGTCTTGCAGTGGTTCACCTTAAAACTAAAACTAAGTATTCAAGTATCCAAGAACATGAGAAACATTATTAATTTCCCCGTATGCGACTCTGTGGGTGGCTCCGCATTCGTAGTACTACTTATGTGCAGACATTGTTGGCAGAGCGACATTATAAGAGTCGTATGTATAGGACGATCGTCATAAAATCCATCATTTTATTCTCCAATTACAGAGTGTGCAATAACCAATAACAGTATGTGGTTAAATGGTCGGATATTGACAAGAAACACATTCGAACAACCTTATTTATGGGCTGATGCCTTTGAATATGAATAGTCGTCTGTTTGATAAGGAATTGTGTACAGTGCTGGTCAAACAAGGAGTTTCAAGCCTTTGAACATGAGACTCAGTAGAAATTGCAACAGACGTGGTGTCACATTTATAAACGATCTTTGAGGATTGAGTGTCGTTTGAGGAATGAACCATCCTCGGATTTTAAACGAACGGTAACGCAGCCGTGAATGACGTTTAACGGATGATATTATATTTGTCATGAATATCAGAAAGGTTTTTCCTTTCTGACCGTATCTGTTTAGCAGATTGATGATAAATTCTGGACAGATTGTTTTTTGTGCTTAATATTAAATACATTTTTGTTATATTATTGCAAGCACTGCTTTATTAAAATAGACGAGATATCTTCAACTATTCCATTCAGCTTGTTTAGTAGTTGTCCCCCATGGCATCTCGTCTTTTCAATCTTCTTAAATTTACTGTTACCCATTATTATTGAAAATCGTCGAATAATTTACGCTACGCTATAAAATCTCTCTTCTATATAAAATGGAGAAAGCAAACTACTTTCATTGCTATTTTGTATTTCTTAATAACACGTAACACAAAACAGCCAAACTGTCTAAAATTTATTATAACAATACTAAGTAGATGCCGTCAGCAAAGATAAACCTTTCTGACTTCGATAATAGCCTGTGATTGTCACCACAGCCTACTATAAAACGCAAATGTTAATCTTCCCTTGAACTCAAAATTCAAGGATCGTTTATAAATGTGACTCTACAAAGGACATTTTAAAAAAACCAAAGAGCAAAATATATAGAGGGTTGCTGTATTGGGTATGATGGTAATAAATGTCTTTCTGTACAGTTATGTGACCATAATGCCGGAAAAACATCTAGCTAAGGAAAAAGTTATTGCTTTTTGATGTTGGTGAAGTGACAGGAAAACTGTATCCAATAGAAAATAAATTGCAGTATTTTTTGAGAAAAAGGCTTCCAGGACTTGAACTAAATTATGGAATCTGGACTACTGTTACAGTAAAAATAAGTTGACGAGATCATGTATGTATGAGTCTGTAAAACTGAGGATATTCTCTCTTGGTGAATTGTTTTCTACACCTGAGGGACAAAGGCACCATGGTACCGGCCAGTACTCATTGTATGGAGCTGGATCGATTTGGTATTACAGGCAGAAGCCAAGCGAGTCTGTTTAGTACAGGGTTTCTCAACCTTTTTCTTTTGTTGAGGCTCCCCGGACTGTAAATTATATTTTCATGCACCCTTTTACTTTTTCAATAAATACAAAAAACGTACATTACATAGGTACAAAGACTTTCATTTTAATTCTAATAAAGAAACGTTAAAAGTTTAAGTAAACTAATACATGTTTTTGTATCTAAAAACTTGAATAAAATAATTGTGGGTACTAATGAGACACTTGAGATTGCATGTTCTGTACCAGTTGATTCTAGCTTTAGTTTTAATTAAAACTACAGCAGAAAAGCCTGCCTCACATAAGTAAGTTGAAGAAAAATGAACTAGTATCCGTAAAGTGTCGAATTAACAGGCAATCTTTTGATCCAAAATTTCTCCAATGTTAAAAGATGGTAGTCATTTTCATGGACGAATCAGCCTTTATTTCTAGAAATTCTTCCTGAACTTTTTCTGGTAATTGTGACATATCGACAACAAATTTCTTGTCATGTGCCATATTGGTGACTCTGAATTTATGTCTTGATAGTATCGGCGAAATTCGTTTTTTAGCGCTTGCAAATCAGTTTTTGTCAGCTTATAAATTTGCGTCCAGTATGTTTTTTTAGTTGCTTCGAACAGCCGAGAAAAAGATATAACATTTTCAGAAGACACTTTTTGATTCCAAAGTTGAAGCTTTGATGTGAACCTCTGATCATAATCATAATTGCTTATTATGGTGTTGTTTCCGCCATGAAGTTTCAAGTTTAACTCATTCAAGGAGTCAAATATGTCAGTTAGATAAGCCAACCTCCATTGAAATGTGTCATCTTTGAAGATTGTCAAGAAATCGTGTTTTTCTTTGAACTCAAGATAAAGAATTACCTCTTCTTTCAATTCATAAAGGCGAGCCAACATGTTGTCTTTGGACAGCCAGCGTACTTCTGTATGGAAAAGAAGAACTTTGTGATCAGAATCGAGATCCTCGCAAAGTAAAGTGAATAACCGACTGTTCAAAGCGCTGCTCTTGGTGTAGTTTACAATCCTTATAGCCGAGTCCAAAGTCTGGCGTAATTTCTATGGCAATGTTTTGGAAGCCAAAGCTTGCCGATGATTAACACAATGTGTACTAACCATTGCGGGATCTTTTTCCTTGAGCTTTTTAGCTCAGCCTGATCATACACCTATCATTGCAGGTGCGCAATCTGTGAAAAGTCCAATGAGTTTCTTCCAATCCAAATCATTCTTTTCAACAAATTTTGATATTGAAAATTGAAGATATCTTCAGATGTAGTACCTGCTGTCAAAGATTGGGAGTACAAAATCTCTTCTGGAATGATATCTCCGCCGATGTAACGAACATAAACTATTAACTGTGCACAATTAACGATGTCGGTGGATTGATCGCAACTAATGGCAAACAATGGCGATAATTTTGCTTTGTTAATTATTTGTGACTTTATGTCTGATTCTACGCTAGACTGTGTTATTCGAAAGAGAAATAGACTTCATTATTTGCTCGGCATCTTCTCCTAAAACTATCTGGGTGGCTTTTAGGACACGTGGTTTTAGTAATTCTTCACCGATAGTATGAGGTTTCTTTTGCCTGGCTATCATAAAAGCTATTTCAAATGAAGCTTTGAGATACTGCGATACACATGTGTGATAACTTCCCGATTTATCCAGCCTCATCAACTTGAGTGATTCTGCTTTAGAAGAAGAAAACTCTTTCGTCATCAAAAACAGAGTAGGATGTTGTTGCTTCAAATGCCTTTCAATGCGACTGGGTCTCATGCTATCATTACTTGAAACTTTCAGACATATGTCACACTGAGGCAATTGTAACTCATCTTTTTCAATGAAGGTAAATCCAAACTTAACGTATATATGTAATAAAACAAATCAGTAATAAATAAATAAGCAAAATACCTACATGTAATTACTAATTATATGCCCATTATTTTATCTTAATAACTTAATGCATTCAACAGTATATTGACCACCGGGAGATTTATATTTTTGTAGGCAGGTTGACGTTATAATAGTAATTTTAAATACATTTGGAATCAATATTAGGCACTCAAAGTTCGTCGTTTCAAAATTATTTCGCCACGTTGGTTTGATTGTGATGTTGTAAAAAAGTCCCAATGGCCGATCTATGAACGTGTCTCCACCCAATCAACAATTTAGTAAATTCATTAAAAATAGTAACTGAAGTTTGTAAATACACAAACTTACCTTTTAAGAGTGAGACACAATAATTTGACACACTCATACAGACTTCTCAACAAAAAGTTTGTGGGAATGAATGTCACAGATGCTGATCCGCGTCTGGTAGGTACACGATTGTTTTCTAAGTGATGAATGATAAGCAGAGCGCGGCGGGGGTGCATGCGGATTTCATGTTGTGACTTGTCGAAACTTGTATAAAATGCGATAGACGACTCCGGGTTTTGAATCAGTGGGTGAAAGAATAAGTGAATATGATACTTAATTTCTAATTTCATGCGTGTAAATTAAACATCACATTGTAATGTTATTTGTGAATGTTGTTTCCTTATTCATTTTGGTCTTTCTTTCTAAAATGCAAACGCTTTCCGCCCCCTTGACATCTCTCTATGCTCCCCTTGGGAGGCGCGCCCTCCCTGGTTGGGAACTTCTGGTTTAGTAGGTTTAGAAAGTAGCAGACTCGTCAAGAAGACATAAGAAGGACGTACTCCATTGGCATATCGGTATAAAAGTGACATTTTACCGACCACTCGTCAGCGGAAAACGAATCAAGATTGCCTGCTTAGGCAACTTTACTGATTAGTCAGATTGCCCTCTTCTGAATCACATCAAATGGGGACGGTGTTGTCGAGGGTCAAAGTAGCAGGTCTTCAAACATGTGAGTGTAAGGATTATGTCAGGATAGGGTTCATCTGGGATATGAATACAGAATGAGGAGGTTAAAGGTTGTGCCTTCTCGTAGCAGATCATGTCCTAAGTGTTACATAAATACACATAAGCCTGAACCAATGGCTTCTATCCATCAACAGGGGATGTGCGTTTGGTGGCCTTGGTATATATAACGGCAGTCAGCTGTTTTATTAGAGGAAATTTGACGTATAAATGCTCTAGAGTTTCTAAAACTTGAATCGCGTATCATACAACCATGCTTTCAAGATCGCTCATCAAGATTAATCGTCTACCTGTCATTATGCACTAAAGTAATTAAGAGTACCATACTTAATCACAAGAGAGCCCATGCAAATAGCCAAGCCTAGCCTAGCTGTTCTGCGGACACGTATATTACTCTTCCGATCTCTAGTCAATTAATTTTTAAGATTAATTATGGCTAAATATGTTGTAGAGACGTTGGTTGTGTCCGCTAAGCAAAAAGCTTAATTACCATTCAGGCAATGCAAGAACACCTGTTTTGGATTTACCGGATTGCCAACCGCAGGGAGATGTTGTTTCTTGGACGACATTTCGATTGATGTGATCTTCAATCGTCATCAGGTGAACTGGCGAACATGTTCCTTTTGAATATTAATACCGATTGATAACGTGGCTGGTGGTTGGCTGTGTTATGTTCCTTGAACACATTTTGTAGTATCATCATAAAGACAAAACTTATGAACAAAAACCATATGAATGCGGAGAGCTATATATAGAGTAAAAAAAATATCACTAAGAATCAGTAAGAATAAAACAGCATATATCCAATACGGATCGTTGAAAGACAAATAAATCTGGGATAGCAGATAACGCTTGGAAAGAGCATCAAGAATATTTTGGGAGCATGCTAAGTTAGAAATCGGGCTTCATAATAAAGAACAAAAACATTTACAGGGTAATCCGGGTGGAAATAACCGGAACAAGGGACACCCCACAACCAACCACCAGCCACGTCATCAAACGATGTATAAATATAGTCAAGAAAGGAGCAGTTCACCTGATGACGATAAAAGATTACATCAATCGAATCATCGTGAATCAAAAAACTTTATAGACAATGGAAGGCAGAGAAACAACATCTCAATCATCCACATTGTCATCAAATTTAAAACAACTGCCAACCGCAGTATATGATAGATACTGTAACAGGTGAATGTCATCATACAGCGTTTTCTCCTGATATACTGTAAAATCTCTTCAAACTTCTAACGCACAGTCATCTTTGCTCTCCAAGGACTATAGTATTACATGTACTCGTTGAAGTCCGATTACTTTCGAAGTAGACATCAGCAATTTTGGGTCAATTGAAAAAAAAAAACGCTAGCATCAAGATTTTGCATTTTAGTGTATTTGAATCAACGCATTTATATATTAATTTTTCATGTAATTGCATCCGTCCTTTAATTTTGGCACCTAAAAGCTCAATTAGATTGGAGAATAGATCCCATGCAAATCTTTAACTCCAAGCAGTGCAGAACTTATATGAGGACAAATATCCAGAAATGTTAGCTGTTCCAGAAGCTGATCACCTACCATAGTCACGTAGAGAGCTGCAGGAGCACCGCATTGATACAGAAAAGGTTATTCTAGTACAATCAAGAGCTTCGTAGGGTATCCAGCTCACCGTCGTCACAAAAAGATAGAGATAACGATCATTAAGCTTTCTGGGGAAATATTAGAACTGCACCAATTCTGAGTTATACGCTACCATATGGAATGTTCGTACTAGCGACGTTGAAGTTGCAGGTATAATATCTCAACTACAGTGATCGAAATAAAGAAAGCCACGACGTCAGGGCTGATGAAAACACCAAGAAGTTCTGTACAGTTTCTGAACCATAATCAGAAGACAAGCCTGTGTCTAAAGCTGTGGCAGACTTGCAAGGTTTCTAACTGGAAGCCCAGGATCGCTCATTTTAATCAGAAATGCATTCTAAGCCTGGTACTATAATAAACAGCAACCTGACCAGCTATTTGAAAGTCTCGTAGATTTCTAGAATGGTAATCGGCGATCTGGCTCTTTTCTACTGCTATGTCAGGAAGTTCTCCTCCATGATACCCTTGTCCGTTGAGCCTGACAGATGGATCCGCCAAGCTTCTGCCTGCCATTCTAATTGAAGAGCTTCTATGATAATATATTGTTGAGATTGTAGAACAACTTACCTGAGGAGGTTTTTCCCAGTTCTTCTAAATTTAGGCAGACTAAACATCAACCTGAGGTGTTTGAGCATATTAGATAACTGAAATCTCATACTCTCTACCTACATTAAGCTTGAAAACAAGCTATTGACCACGGTGGATATTTAAGGTTAATTTTGAGGGGAGACCAGAAACATTTTGGGTGACACAAACATTTTTAAATAGCTGCGGTCAAAGCACATTTCCTTTTTTTGCTGGATCCTGTATGACTTTGCAATCATGTTTAATGAGCATTAAATTCAATCACGTCTGTACAAATTGTATTATCCTGCTAAGCCATAAATACCTATACTTATGAATGCCATAACCACCATAAGGTCTTCATTAAAACAATCTAACTGTATATTTCTAGCACGCTTTTGTTATAGTCATTTAATAGAATAATGCCAAAGAAAATATAGGGCCATTATCTGGCTCTATGAGATGAAATCACTCCTCCATAGTTATTATAGTAATCTACTCGGCCTGAAATCGTGCAGGTCCATCACAAATCTATTATTATACATGCATGCTTTTCTTTTGATTGGGCGTTGTTTCGGTCCAATTGTTTTTGATTTTTAATAAATACAACTTTTGCTAACGGTACTCTAAAGGTGTGTACTCACTCGTTGATCCATTTTAGTCAGAATTAACATATCAAGTGAGCATACTCGACTAAAGTAGTCAAAATTTGAATTCCAGTGTTAATTTCTATCTCAGCAAATGCTGTAAAGGTTGCTTGTAACATTTTCTTACACAATTTATGCTGCGATCTAAGATGTTTGTAGAAGCCTCACCTTTTCAAAGTTGATTGGCCTGCTGGAGGGTCACCTCTAAGATCGTTAATTGCAGTGTTGTACCACCAGATAGGTTGTATCTGTCTTCGCCAATACAGGGTATCTGCCGCTCATGCTCATGAGGGCAGTGTACAGCCTCCCTAAACATTTGTCAACTCTAGCTATGTATCTGCCAAATCCGTTAGATACGGTAAATATGATGCGTGTTGATCTCTATGCTCCACTATTGACCTCCTTACAAAAAAGCTACATTCAATTTATGTTTCACTATCGCATATACGACATATTTCCCTGTTGCCTCCATAAGAATATCTGTTTTCAAGAAGGATGTTTTAATTTTGTGTGTGTGTGTGTGTGTGTTAGTGAATGTATCGACTGACGCTTGCGGCAGCCATGGGAATTGTAAAAGGTATGGCTCGGTGCACTATAATGATGAAACACTACGTTAACTTCCTCCGACGTTTCTTATTGAGGGTGTCTCGCAATTTTGAGAAGAGTAAAGTTGCTACATGTTTACCTTTTAACATCATATGATGCATTGCTTTGATGTTTTCGTCAGTCATACTATTACAGGAATTTATACACTGATAGTCTCGACATCAGCGTCTTCACACAACCTTTCAATGAGTTTTAGCGGGCACCATATATTTTTTCCGCGCATTTTGTTATGGCTCTCCCCAACCGAATGCATTTCTCTTGAAATCTTTGATACACATAAACCAAAATGCACATAAAGTCAAAACCACACTGACAGAACAATAGCCCAGAGGAATTTGATATTGCATTGCCGAAATGACGTACGTACTTCTCGTGCAATTAGTGTCAATTCAACAGTCATTTGATGCCGCCGTATTTCACTGCATTCCATATACATTCGCAATGGAATATCAAACTTATCCATTGTCGTAAGAATATAAGGTTGATCATGGAACACCAAACTATCACGAATGTATATGCTTATAAACTGTACTAACGCGAAAATAAGACGATCAGTATTCACTATGATACTTCAGTATTTATCATGAAATGTGATATTTGTTGACCGTCTACCCAGGATGTCACTGATTATGGATAAATAGGGTTACATAGAAATCCACTAGCACCGACGGAATGATCAGTAAATACTGAGAGTATGTGCCACAGTAAATACTGATCATGTGACATTTGCCTATAGAAATATAACAAAAGAATCACAAAATCTTACACTAAAATCATCACATACAGCAGATAATATCCAAAATACACAAATGTTTAAAGCACAGTTTGAAGAAATGCTAGACTTTCATGTTTGAGATCTCGTCTAAAAAATGTTTTCCAAAAGCCCTGTGTAATCATGCAAAACCGTAGTAAAATTAGTCAAATCCCGTGGTGCAAGACACAACTTGTTTCTATTGATGCCGATTACTGAAGATTTAACAGAGCACTTTTTTATCTATAGGAACTGCAGAATACTGTAATGGGGTTGGAGATTACCCTCTTCACGAACATCACACCAGATTTTAGCCCACCAGTCAACCAGTATGATAGATGGGTATCATAATTCCCTTCAAGCAAGCTGCATTGCATATGTTGGTGTTTATACACGTTCCAGGGCCTGAAAAATAGTTACATCAAAAACTATAACTGGGATAAAATGTATTTATTATGATATTAATAGCGGAATATATAGCAATCAGGACTCATGGACAGTAGTGCGGTTGGGAGATGCATTACTGTCGCCAATGGTTTCAAGGCAGCCCGAGCCCTGATATAAGTTAGTTCTTGTTTAGTGTAGGCATTTTGCGACAGTGCTTAGGAGTAGGAATCAATCAAATTGAGTTACCCGCCAGTCAAGTAGCAGTAGTAGCGTATTTTCTGCTATTCAAGGAGATTGGTTACGTCCTTCCTTGGCTCTGACTACTGTGAATATATTTCTGGCTAAATGATAAGATGTTGGAGGATAAAATATAATTGCGAACTATGTAGATTTCGCTAAATCCGGTAAATTCATTATAATTCTCCGAAATCATTTTTTTTGCTAATTTTTTCCAAAATGACGGTACCACATTGACAGAGACAGTGCCGTCAGCAGTGACATTTAGTCATATTATTTTATGGCTCTATGGCGACAATACAAAAAGCGACGTTGCTATTTACGGTTTGTTATGAGATGCCAGGCTTTAGTTGACCCTACATGATCAGGACAGTTTGACATTTCATATTTTGGCAATATAGCCTACTCCGATCAATTATTTTACTATCAGCAGCATTAATCAAAGGATCATCTGCAAAAGGGTCAGAGGAAGCTTCCTAGTAACGTAGTATAAGCCCAATAATTCCTCCCAGACATGGTGTATTTTACTATTCATATCTGAACAGGTTGTATGTCATGAAAAATTATCACGACAACTGAAATGTTCGCTCCTTTATATTTCTAAATTCCTGCTTGTAACTATTTTTTGCTTTTTGGTGAATGTTTACACCGTACTATCTAAATCAGCCTTGTTTATATCCTAAAATAAACCAAACTGTACACATTGTAGAAATTGAAATATTTCTAGCCATATTTTAATTCTAATACTAAGCTAGCAGATATTTGAGTATTATCTCCAGAATTTTTATGCTTGGTATTAACGGTAACATTCGTCGGATTGAAAAAGTTGTTTCATGTAGGTGTGGTAATAGGTTCTATAATTTTGAGAAATCGGATAGATGTAAAGCGTAACAAATGCATTGGAATGTCTACATCTTAGACATAACGGAACTGTCAATGGGTTTTGAAATTGCTTCCATAAATCTTGTTCTAATATACCTCTCTATTACTATCTAAGCTTAAAACCTGTTTTAAAAAGATAAATCTGTAAGCGAAATATATAACGTATTTTCTAGAGACGAAAAGCCCTTCGCCGGGCTCCTTTGCACCTGTATACTTAGCTAGGCCTCAGGACTCGCATTGCTAACAACCTAAATATGGCCTTCAATTATTCTCCTTAATACTTTGGAGTTGCAAGATGCTGGAACCTAGTATTGTCTGCATATAGGGGTATACGATATCGCTGCGACAAGAAAAGTCCGGTAAATGTATATTTCCAACATAACATGTACCTGCAACTTTTTGAAATGGAAACGCACTTGCCTGGCTCATGTGCCGCAACATCTAGTAGACTGTTAGTACGTCGTCACTTAACCTGATACCTGCGATATTTTGCCCGTACAAATTATGCCGGACTCATGTTACTTACGTACACTACAACCCTGGATGGGCTTTGGATGGCTTCTTAATTTCCCTTACTATTCGCATTTTTGTACCTCTTACTTATTCTACATGTTGCAAACTTTATGAGTTGAAGGAACATGTTGCAAAGTTGTTCTAGTGCAAACTTACATACCATAAGGATTTCCCAATATAAACATATTTGATTAAAAGCGAATTACCTCCTTTGGATTCAGAACATACATGACACTAGCCTAATTCAACACAAACTTCGATATATATATAGAAAATGTTCATACGGAGAAAGGTATATAACAAAAAATAGGAAAATAATGGGCAAAATCTGCAAAAAGGAGGAAAGTTTGTCCCTCTCCATCTTCGTTTTCTCAGGTTACACCCGTATCCGGATGTATTGGAATGTGAATCTACTTTTGTAGTTGCATATGTGCATTCATTTCGGGTCTGATGAAGCCAACCAGCAGAAATACGTATCGCTCGGGTCACCTATCCTATTTTCTGCTCGAATCCACTTTCCTCCTTTTTGCGGATTTTTCCCATTATTTTCCTATATATATATATACAGCTCAGTTTTTTTTGGAAAAACGCTCAGACCCGTCGATTTTGTTTTCGAGGGGGACACAAGTTTGGAAAAAAATCACGTTAACATGTGCAGCCCCCTGGGCGGGGGTGACACCAACCCTAAAATCTTAAATGGAAAGGGGGTCGAGTAATACCTTATTTTAAAGGTCTTTCAATTCCCTTCATGATGATATAAAACTAATGTACTTCAGTTCAGTAGTTTTGAAGATTTATTGATTTAAACCTTAAATAAAACTAATATATAGATCATCATTAGTGGAGATCAATACATTTGGCAGCAAAGTAATTTAAAAATGAAGAATGAACTGACCCGATAGGCAAGTAAATGTTGAAAATGGCCACAATGACTCTCCATGCAATAATAAAGATTTTGGTCAAAACGTTGCCGCACATTTTGCAATATTTGAGGAGTAATTTGAAGGCACTCATTCCCAAATATTTGTCGCAGGTCTTCTAATGATAATGGCTGAGTAGCATAGATTTGGTTTTTTAAATGACCCCACATAAAGAAACCCAAAGTTGATTAATCTGGCGATCTTGGGGCACCTCTTCTACCAATCCATCGATCTGGAAACGTCTGATCTAAATATTGTCGAACACGTAATGCGTAATGTGGTGGGACACCATCCTGTTGGAACATCAACCTATTCGCAATGTACTTCCGATCATTCTGATTTTCAATTGTGGCTGTTAATGCAGGATCTATGACGTCTTCCAGTAATTCCAAATACATTTCACCGGTCAAATTTCCAGGTAAGAATAAAGGACCAACTAAATGATCGCCAAAAATACCAGCCCAAACATTTAATTTTTGTGGCTGCTGTGTGTGAACCTCATGATAAATTCTGGGATTAAAATCGGACCAATATCGGCAGTTATGACGTTTTACTACGCCATTTAAGAAAAAGGAACATTCTTCGGAAAAGCAAGTGTTGAATAGAAAATGTTCATGGTTTATAATTTGTTCACTCATATCTTCACAAATAATCGCCGATCAAAATCGTCTTCATTAAGTTCTTGTACCAGGTGAATTTTATACGGATGAAATCTATGGGCCTTTAGAATCCTTTGGACAGTACGCCGACTAACACCACACACAGTCTCCAATTTGCGAGTACTTAACGTAAGATCTACATAAACTTGCCCTAAAACCCCCACTTCTATTGCTTAGTTTTTGCCAAACTTGTGTCCCTCTCGAAAACAAAATCGACGGGTCGGAGCGTTTTTCAAAAAAAAAACTGAGCTGCCAGTAAACGCGTCTGTTTCGTTTTCGATGCGCCACCCTGTATATATAATCGTAAATATAAATAATAAATAAGAATATATAAACTACCTTCAACTTCAACTATTACCCACAACATAGGGTGTAAGAGCTTAGGGACAGTTTATATACATATATTCAGATCCTCTCAACCTACTTATCGCCAAGATATTAAGAGCCTATTAGATATTACCATACAATACGGACTGTGACATTTGAAATAAGCTGTTTGCATCCAGTGAAATGTAAATCACAAGCATTGTCAGACCAGCACCTCGGATTGCGGGACTGGTTTTGCGGTTGTTTCATTTTTCTAGAAGCTGCCAAGCCAGTGTAGAATAGTGTTGGGTAAAATCGAAACAGCTTCTAGAATCTATCTTTAGATTCTCACACAATAGGGGCATCTGCAAGTTTGACAGTAGATATTTTTATGCCCTTCAATAGACCAGAAAGGATATTTCTATCTTGCCATTGCAGAGATGCCGGGAAACTGTGGCTTCCTACTATCAAACGTAAGGGGGTTGGCAGTACCATGATTGGAGAAGCTACTGATGTCACCTCTATTTTTGCACAGAACTATTATATTCACAAAAACTTCAACTAGTAACATTGGTATCAGGCACACACGTACTTAGAACTAATTTTCTTTGATAGTAAGTGAGTAATTTAAGAAATAGCATCTTTAGCGATCGTTGGATACCCTTCATAAACAAAAAGTTTGAATGTCAGGAGTAGATGTTCTAGAGTGATTTAGCCGTTAGCAAGGATTTATATTGCAAAGGACCGTACTATAAGGATGTTTTGCGTACTGCAAGTAACAAGATGTTGATAATTACAATATACTTCTTTACACTTAGCAGCTACAACATAGCTTAACAATCCACTTCTTAGAACCAAATCGATAATTATTGTATGGATGTTTGATACAGTTACTGTAATTTATATAGAGATTATAACGAACATAGCAGAAATCACACTTGGCGATTACGGACACATTAAATTTAATGTAGGTTGTTATTTATGCTGATTTATACGACAATAAGTTGAAAATTGCTATGTATAATTAAAAAAGTAAAGTTCGACATCTTCACAGCATGTATCAGAGAAAATTAAATATAGATGTTTCCTGTTGTTAGAAGAATGCCCATTCGCTGACATGTGTGGTGGTGCATTACATTTATAAGTACGTTACAATTTTTGTGATTTATTGATTTACCTATTTCAACAAGAATAAATTGAGGGAATGTTGGGTCTTGGTGTTGACTCCCCATTTCTTTCTCTCAATTTCATAAAAGGGGTATTTTGTTTTTTCACCCACTTCCGTCGGTTTGTCTATCTGTTCACAAACCTTTGACCCATTTGCAGGAACACGTTTGTTCCAGCAGCTATTTTTACAGCCCACTCCACGTCATATGAAAAATGGATGTTTCTTCCAGTCTGCTAAAACTCTGTGTTGAGTACGTTTATTTTATACCCATCATGCAAT